CTAACAGCGAAAATCTGTAAATTTTCAGCAAACTGTTCTAAAAAAATTACTCTTATAAATGTTACCCTTTTTAGTGTAGCATATTACAATAATGAAGTACCTCAAAATTACTTTAAAATACATTCTACAAATTGAGGTTGTTTGCAAGGTGCTGTGAAGTCTGCCTTCATATGTTAAATTTGAGGGTTCATTAAATGGTCCATTTTGAATATTAGTATGATTAGGACATGAATATTTAATTTGGAAACGTGTCACATTAGGAACTGTGTCACTAAAACCGGATTAGCCGGAACAACCCGTGTTTGTTTGAGGTGACGGAGGTGGAAACAGCAGGCAGCAAACTCACCAACTCCACGTGGACTCTTCTACACACACAGCCTGCTCGGTTTTCTCTTGAGCCAGACTAATTCACTTCTTCTGTTCCTGGCTTTACCCAACACGGACTAGCATGTTTTCTACATCATGCAAACTGAACGTGCGTGTTTTCGCGCGCACAACACGATGAAACGCTCACCTGCTGCGGTGGCTCCCATCAGCCAATAGGAACACAGTTTAGAGGTCGCGGCGACCGGAAGCTGTTGGCCGCTTCTGCCATTGCAGCAAAGTGCGGCTAGCTTTTAGCAGGCTAACACGCTGCTCAACGCGCTTTGGCTGCCTGTCACCGCAAAGTAAAGACATGAAAGGGTGTGGAGCGTACGAAAGATGAAGCCGGCACGTCCAGGGGAATGATATTCACCGGCTTTGCCTCTGGAAAAGAGGATAAGCAGACGTAAAGAAACACGGAAGTGTCGTTGAAGGTAACAGTATTGCTAATGTAGCTTAGTAGGTTGGCTGAGAAAAAAACATGCCGTGCACAACATATATCGCTAATACTAATGGTGTAATAAGATGACATTGATTGTTGGGATTACTGCTGCGTTTTGGATGCCTAATCCAAGCTGCCTAATCTACTCTCAGCTCCTACTTCAATCGTTAGAAACCGGCTGCTACATAGGCTAGCTAATGTTACCGGTGTTGTGCCAAATACTGATCGTCTGCCAAAAACTGTTTGTCGTCCGTGTAAGGGATTATTTTTATGCCTTTGTACTATTTTACCTGCTCTTTGCCCTCATTTTTAACTACGGCAGTTGTTTTTACCCTTCAAAATGGCTTTATAGAGCCAATTTAAGTCATTTAATGGTGGTGTTTTCTACTTGCCAAAAAGTGACTGCAGCCCCTATGTTGTGGCTGAAATGTCAGCAATGCATCAAAATTAGTCGATGTCATTCATAAGGATTTGAGAAATTTGACAGATTTTACCTCATCTATTTTCAGCATGATTCTTTGGGTTTAACAAGTTGGTCATACTTTTGTTTTACTGTCGTCATAAAAATGACACTGAATGGTCACTATTTTATGTAGATCTCTTACATGACATAGTGATGAAAGCTTTGTTCCAGTTTAAGTTTGTCTCCTCAGTCTTTTATTTTCAAATTATCCATTTTGTTATGTCAAATCATCATCATCTTTATGATCATTGCCTAAATCTCTTTTTGTTTCCCCACAGCTTCCAGCAGCCACAGACACAATGAGTGCCAAATATGGTCTGGTGGGCTACAACAGTTCACGGAAGCACATCTCCATCTCCATCCCCTCGTCTACAGAGGTGATGTCGCCCCACATTAAGTCTGTGGAGGAGCTAAGGGTTCTGGGAATCAACCTGAGCAGCTTCAGTGCACCCACACAGTTCTTCATCTGTGTGGCTGGAGTCTTCCTCTTTTACCTTGTCTATGGGTACTTGCAGGTAAGAGAGGAGAAAAAAAAATACACTGAAATACACACATTGGCAGTAAAATATCCTGAAGTAACTATTTTAAACTTGTTGCAGTTTGATTCTCTCAATAGGTGGAAATGTAAGACAACAATGAGAAATAAACCTAAAGAGATAGCTGTTAAAGCGGGTTTTTCTTTGTATATCTGTCCCTCTATGTAGGAGTTGATATTTTCCGTGGAAGGATTCAAGCCTTTTGGTTGGTACCTCACTCTGATCCAGTTTGGCTTCTACTCCATGTTCGGACTAGTAGAGCTTCAGCTCACACAGGACAAACGCAGGAGGTACAGCTACAGATGATTTCGTGCTCCTAGATGACTGACTGTACTTGCGTTACATGCTCGGCTTCATCACTGTCACTCATTTGTAACACTAACTAAATTTTGTAGGTGATGATTTGATTTATATTTCCCTCTCCTCCAGGATACCAGGGAAGACCTATATGATCATAGCCTTTCTAACAGTGGGCACTATGGGCCTGTCCAATACCTCACTGGGCTACTTGAACTACCCTACACAGGTCATCTTCAAGTGTTGTAAACTCATCCCAGTCATGATTGGAGGAGTGTTTATACAAGGTCAGCTCTTTATCTGTATATATTTGTACAGACTGCACCATGTACGAAAAACTAGTGACTTTGTTTTTTTTATGCGCAAAATCTCCGTCGTTACTACTATATGAAATGAGTTGATCCATGTTTGACGTCTCAGCTATGTGGTGTGAAGTTATTCTGCTTTTTGTTGCTTAGTTGCTTTGATCATGTTAACTTTTAATAGCTTTTGAAATCAACAGTTGTGGTGAGCTGAAGTCAGGATTCTCAAGTCTGGTTTTACTCATTTCTGGAATAACCCCAGGTAGAGGTTTAGTTGTGATTTGTTGAGTTTCCATTTTTTGGACAAATTACACTTACATACATACATACATTTAGCCTATATCTGCCTGGTCAAAAATGTAAGGCAGGGCTCTAGAATGCGACCAAAATGGGCACATGTGATAATTTTGTGTTAGTGTGCTTGTTAAAATTTCAAGTGATCACATTTGTGCGGGTGCATGATGATCATTAACGTGTTTTGGTGTTTCTGTGGACTGCACAGGTGAATACTCTGCTAGCGACTGTGGTGAAAGTAAAACTTTTTCCATGTTTGAAACGATCCATTCACCCGTTACTGTCTTGCAAAGATGTAGCAGTCTATATCTTTTTTTCTTTTTTTTTTCCACAAATAGCACAGTGTGTGTTGCAAACAAATCATGGGCTGGTGCGTCCAACTCAGAAAGTTGGTGGAAGTAGAAAAGTGGAAAAGTTAGTCTGGAGCACTGTAGGGATTGAGCGCTAAATGTCTGGTTTTTTGTTTGTTTGTTTTTTGTTTCTCAGAAAGAAAAACATCTAAAGTAAACTCAGCAATTTGCAAATTTATTTAGAGGATAGTGAAAGTGAATGTTGTATCCTTGCTTAAAGGGAAAAAAAACATTTTCCTTATTGAACATATAACAGTTCAACCATAGTCAGTCAAGACAGGTAGGTTTCAGAGATGGCACATTTTCCACCTCATTTCAGTCATCACACGTCTCCTTTGAAGCAATGGCCACCTTTCAACCTTCAGTACATTCTTTTTATCCACTTTTGTTGTTTTCGGCTGTCAGAGCCCAGTCGGCGGTACTCACAGATTCTCCCTGCTCTTAGTTCTGTCTGCCCTTTCATCCTCACGCTGGCCTTCTCAAGGTTCTGTGTCCTGAACGTCAGACGGGTTTTGTGCGCTTTTTGCTTTTTTTTTCCCTTCCTGCGTCTCTCTCTAGATGGATAGATGTGAGGACCTCGGTCCCTCAAGGGGTCGAGTGGAAAACAGAATTTGTTCACTTAGAATGCAAAGAGGAAAGAAAGTGGGAGAGAGGGATGGATGGATGGAGGGAGAGAGGCAGGGGTGTGGGGTTGCATCTGATGTGAGGCCCTTCAAAGGGTGAATCAGGGAATCAAAGTCGACCACAGCCAACCTGATGCTGCGTCCCCTTGTCAACCTCAAGGCATCCATCCGTCAGCCTGTTGTTGGAAAACTCCTTCATCCTGTTGTTTTTTTTTCCCCCACTTCTTCCCTTTCACGCAGGTTTTTTTTTTTTTTTTGTGCATTGTTACATGCACAACCTCAGAAACTTTGAATTGAGAAGAATACCCGTTGCACAATACTTTCAATAGTTAAGTCTTTTCTGAGTCCAATGTCAACTTTTTCTATTTATTAAAGGTGGGTCATCTTTCAAAGATTTCTTTGTAAGCTGCGCTTGAGGGAAAATATTCTCCCTGTGTCTCAGTTTGGTTTACTGAATTTGTGATGTTGTAAAAGGCTTTCAAAGTTTTGCAAGTACCATGCATTTTAGTTTAGATTTCTTGCTGTTTTAGTTTCTAAAACTTTTCCCTTAGTTTTGTGTCTGTAAAATAAATAAAGAAAGAAAATAAAATACTTACAGATAAGACATTCAGTAATTCATTGCTTTGTGTTTGTGTTCCAGGTAAACGCTACAATGTGGCTGATGTGTCTGCTGCTCTCTGCATGAGTCTGGGACTCATCTGGTTTACCCTAGCTGACAGCAAAGTGGCCCCCAACTTCAATGTGACAGGTAAGTCCTTAGCAGTCCAACTGCAGGCTTCAGTGGTTTTCACACAATGACCTTAATTTTATTGCTGTGGTACAGCAAGTGTAAAAGTGGTAGTGTAGTTTTGCATCAGTACTGTACTCACTACCTGTCTGGGAGAGAAACTGGAGGAAGCTGCAGTATCAATTAAACAGCTGGTGTCATCAAAACAAACATGGAAGTCTGCAGTCACTGAGTTCTCATTGATTATTGTTATGCAGAGAGGCGACATTTCGTGGAGGTGATTTATGAAAAGACTAATACCAGGATTTAGGGTCGATTTGTGAACATTTAAAACATGGCATATTTGTAAGATCTGTTATCGTGTACAGTTAATTTTATGCTGTCAAAAATAACAAACACAATAGGAAAACTTATTTGTGGACATTCTGAAATACATGCAGCATATCTTCAGTTTCACAGTGCGTCTAGCTGGTCACGTCTGTCACATATTCTCCGCCTTTTTTCCTTTGAAGTATAGCTTATTTTGCTCATGCTCAAAAATTAATATGTGTTCCTTCTGCTAATATATTTGGTCTGCCTATGTGTTGGTTTATGTTCATGTACAGGTGTCCTCCTCATCTCCCTGGCGCTGTGTGCAGATGCTGCAATTGGGAACGTGCAGGAGAAAGCCATGAAACTCCACAATGGCTCCAATTCTGAAATGGTAAGCAGCTAATCTAACTGAAAACAAGTCTATATTCTTGTACATAATAAAGTTTAGAAGTCTAAAGGCAACTCTCTGATCTGTTTGCACATTTGAGGTAAATACAGAATATGCGACTCTTCTTGTTTGTGTCATTAGACTTTTATGTCCTGTGTTTTGACTGTAAGGAATATGATAATCGTAATAACTCTGTGCGCGATGTCACTGACTGGTCTCCTGGTGTTGTGTTGACAGGTGCTGTACTCATACTCCATTGGGTTTGTGTACATCCTGACAGGCCTGCTCTGTGTGGGTGGACTGGGGCCAGCAGTAGCATTCTGCTCAGAGGTGAATACACCTTAAGACAATATGAGAACACATTCTTTGCAGTGAATGTGGGAGACATTGTTTACTGTACGTATATTCAACTTTCAGTTGCAAAAACAATGCAAGAGTGACATTTTCTGTATAACATATGCAAATGAATCTGTTATTATCTGCAGTATAATAATAAACTTGTGATCCTTCATGACCTCTTGAGTTGTGACAGGCTGCTGGTTTTCAATTTAGACTGTATATATTCATAAGGCAACTTAAGGACTTACAGTGCACACTGTATTTGGTTACTGCAAGTGTTCTGTAATTAGAAAGTTTTCATATCAATTTTTTTTTCCTGTCATCTCTCCTTCCTTCCAGCATCCTGTGAAGACATACGGTTATGCATTCTTCTTCTCTCTAACGGGTTATTTTGGAATCTCCTTCGTGCTGGCCTTAATCAAACTCTTTGGTGCCCTGGTTGCTGTGACAGGTCAGAGTTTTTCCAATCATCTCGTCTCTTAAGAGAATACCCGGTCGAATTTTAAAAATATTTCTGTAATAATACTATTGTTAGTGTCATATTTGAAATATTTGGTGAAATCTTAAATTTAGCCCAGGTCATGTGTTGAGCTTTCGCTTCTTATTTGTAATTACAAAACAGAAGTCCTGGCACTGATGGTAACGTGAATGTTTGGATTCCTTTGCAGTGACCACCGGGAGAAAGGCCATGACTATCATACTTTCCTTCATGTTCTTCTCCAAACCTTTCACTTTTCAGTAAGTATTGTGACCTTTTGACTTTAAACAGTTTCCTCCCAGCTTGAAGTAAATCTACAGTGTGACCACTGACCTCTCTTTTGTCTAGAAAAAAACTTGATTTGGCTCCCCTGCCCCTGATTTTCATGTCCTCAGTCCATTTTCAGACCTTGACTGGTCCACTGCTCCTACTCGTTGTCCTTCACTCTGTTGCTCACCCTCTAACTTGCCCTCTGATTCCTCTCTGCTGTCAAACAGTCTCATTTTCTGCATACCTCTCCTGCTCTGCTTCTCCATCATTACTTTCGACATGGCATTGTGTATGTCTCTTGATACAAAAAACTTTGGTGTATCATCATGGCCAACTTCATTCTCCCTCCAGTGGTGTGTGCCCTCCACCATGACTTGACTCACAGTAAATTTTATGTTTGCAGTTTTTAAACCAAAAGATTCTGGTATTAGTATATATATGTTTTCAGTTAATACATGATTTAACAGACACCAAATTGACTTCACTAACCAAATTCATGAGTACTAACCTTGTCAATTACTATACAATTGTGTGGCGTGCTGAAACTATATGAAAATATGATGCTAAGCCCTGTATAAGATATTTAACTGCTCAGGAAACTGCATGATTTAAATAAAAATACTCTCCAGTTGAACCGTCAAAAAACAAATGTTATGTTGTATCATTTTTAAAGGTGCCCTGTGGAATTTTCTGTTACACAAAGTTTTGCTTAGTGTTGCTCATTAAAACAGACTCGGAGTCCTTGAGGTCTAACAAATAAACTTCTCTTTTCATATAACATTTGGATAAGCTTTTGCATCTTTGTTTGCTAGAAGTTTACTTCTTCACTGCCTTCGGCACATCGCTGCATTTCTTGCAACTTTAACTCTACCTGCATGTGAGTGGAACAGTGTGAAACAGTGGGCAGGATTGTCTGTCATGTCACCTGCATGATCATGCAATAAACAGTGGCAAATGTTGTCACAACCTCCACTGGGTGTCTTTAAGTAAGAAATGTCTAGAAATAACATTAGCATCCTGTTGAACCTTCGCCCTTCTTTATAGTGTATATCCACCTCTCACATTAGTTGCGATTGGCTTCACAATAGCTAACCTTTTCGTCTTTTTCTCACCAGGTACGTCTGGGGTGGCCTTCTGGTGCTCTTTGGCATCTTTCTGAATGTTTACAGTAAAAACAAAGATAAAATTACGCTTCCCTCTATCAAGGACCTCAAAGGCTGGCTGCTGACAGGAAAGAAAGTCAGATTTCTCTCACAAAACGTGTAGGAGGCACCTGCAAGTATTGCGGAAGTCTTGCACAGGGAGGCTGCTTCAGTCTGCCACTTCAAGTGGAGTGTCGGCCTACATTTCTCAGGGGATATGCTGAAGCATGTGCCTGAGCTCAGGGCCACATCACTCCCGACGTCCAGCCAAGGATGTGTATACAGGGTTTGACCTCCAATCAGCCTTACAGACAGCTGACATGATTTAACGACAAATGAGGGAGTTGCTGTATCCCGTCTGTCTACCAGTATACCACTGGTTAACTGATATGACACTATCTGCAGCAAGAAACTGGAACTGTGTTTTAAAAGGGGATCAATGCCTTGTGGGATCTTGTAAAGCGATGCTTCAGAGCCCCACAAAAACATTTTCAACATGGAGTACAACACTGAGGACATATAAGACTCTCTAAAGGGAAGCCAGCTCCTCAGTTAACCAAATTGCACAGTTTTGCACTGGAACTGACTCAAAACACTTAAACCCTTGAGTGATTGTGACAAAAATGAAATGTTTTGAAGGAAAGAGCACAGAGAGACATGTTGATGTGTGTCATGTCTGAAATGATTGTCGCCCACCCTAACTGAAAAATACATATTGATTAAAAAGCATATTTGTCCCCACATGTGCCAGAAAGATAGAACAAAACTTTGTTTTACATAATCATTGTCTTTATAAAAGTGTTTTTCATAGTTTATTGGTAATTCATGACTATATCCTAATTAATGAAAAATATGTGATCACATGATAACATTTTGGGGAATGCGGAGTCATTTGCTCTTCTATACATCAACAACTGCCATAAGTTGCTGACCATACCTTTGGGAGAAAGGGTACAACTGTTTTTACAATAAAGTATGTATTTAGTAATTGCAGTGTTTTGTGTTTCTGTGAGTGTGGTTTGTCAGCCAGCCCTTCTTCGCTCCCTTTTCACCGCTTGAGAGAAGAATTGAAATGTTGCCAAAGTGTGTGTGTGCGCGCGTGCACTGCGCATCTAGTGGCCTTAGGCATGTTTAATTAGGTGTCCTGAAAAAAAAAAATAGCACTGCTAGACACAAAATAAACAGCAGCCTTTACTGTGCCGAGGCTGTCCTATTCATTTGGATCTGTCCTGTGCGTGTGTGAGTGTCAGTCAAATACATGCCAATTCACAGTCTCCCTAAACAATGACATGACAATGCTCACGCATGTTTCCTCTCCAAGCATACTTCCGTTTCCTCCATGCAGCCGTTTGAGCACCAAGTTTTGTTTTTTGGTTTCCACAGGTGTTGCATTTACATTATTGTGTTACAGTAGGCACTTGCATGTTGGATTTCAGTGCCCTGCTGTCTTTCGTACACAACATCCCTCTCACAGAATCCCCTGCTTTTAGTATAAATATTACTGTACATCTGGTTTCAATGCAGATGCACAATCAATCGCAGAGACACTCATTGTCCAAGAGATCTGTGCTTTTCCAGCCTTCTTCACTGCTAATTGTACGCTTAGGCCTGTTTAAGAGCAGTGCATCTTTGGTGTGCAGCAATAGATATGGTGAGAACAACGCTGGCAACTTTTTAAATGCATATTTCTTGTTCCATTCATACAGCGTAACTGTGAAGTTGGGGCTGATCTGTGGTTTTTGACAGTAAATGTGTAAGCACAGTGGGAGTCTAACAAAGTTGTACAATCTATAAATGATTTATTATTTATTAAAGTCAGAACCTTGGAGCAGGAATCCAGCGCTGATGTTCTGTCTGCTGACCATGCAGTTTCACCTCTCACCGGAGTCACCTCCTGCGAGAAAAGAATTTTCACACAAAGGTCTATGGAGTGTTTTATTTCATCGCACACATCCAGACGTGGAAATCTGATCAAGAAAACATTTATGTAGCCTAGGAATACGTTGGAAATGTTAGAGAAGTCTTTTGTCCTTCATTATCATTTTGTGTGTCTGTATGTGTGTGTCACTGGCAAGCTGTGAAATGACAGAGACTTGCCAGCTCAGCAGGAGACAGGCTGAGTGTGGCTCTCTCTGTGATCCTAATAGAGGCCCAGATATTACAGTCTCACTTCCAGGCGGGAAACCTAACGCTGGGCCAATTAGTAATTTGGTATTTCATAAAATTTGGCAGCTTGTGTGTGATGACAAACTGACAGAGATCTTCTCTCCTCCAGGGAACCTTTGGCAGTGCAGCAGTACACACACACATGCAGGATTGCTAAGTTTTTATTCCACAGCAAAGTGGCAAGCGTTGCACAGACTGAGAGCACATCACTCCGATTGAAAACCTAAAATGACTTTGGATGCTTTTTCTTTTTGGCTGTAGATTTGGGTTTCACACAGGCACGAAATGGGGAAAAGATTTTGTTCAAGGGCCCTTTTCAAGACTTTCTCACTCAACTAGTGTTTTTTTTTTTTATTGTTTTTTTTTTATGATGGATGAACAGCGAAACAGTCCATTAGAGGTTAAGAGGTCATGTTGCACTGTTAAAAATATTAGTTTGCCATTACACGTGTTTGATGTGTAGCGTAAAGTACTGTTTCATCGCTATGGGAACGGCTGTTCTCTTTCAGCTCCCTGAAAGGTCATTATGGGATGGGAAAGCCCAGTTGACCCAAGGCAAAGTACATCATTTGTCTTTTAGCACCAGGAGAACACACCTAACAAAGCAGGCTGACCCCTGTTAGAACACTGAGGATTTTGGTCATTTTTCAAAGCCTCATAGGAATTTGCCATCTACTGAAGTCAGCTGTTTGGTTTTATATATATATATATAAATTTTAGACAAACATTTTTTTTGTTTGTTTCATAATCATAAGTGACTGTAGGTGGTTTGTCTTTACTGAGGCTGTGTGATGTAAAACAATTCCTTGGATGATAAAAGGATGTCCTGTTTGTCATAACAAAATGTGCTTAAAGTTGGGATTATAAAGTTAGCATGAAGAAACATTTATGAAACACATAAATTCATCATTTATTTATGTTGAGATGAACTCCGATAGGCCTTCACCTGGTTCACTGTTTCTTATATTTTTACCTTTTTCTATTTATTTCTGCTATTCCCCCCCCCCCCACACCCACACACACACGCACTTGGTAACCTGGGCCATCCAACCTCTGGTCTCACACGGCTGCGGCCTTTCCTAATAAATAATGGGAGGTGTCCGGAGCTCATCATTCTAGCAAATAGGCTGCTATATAATATGCGGTCCACTTCAGATAGGTTGCTATATAATATGTGGTCAGGCCTCAGACGGCCGCAGCGAGGAGGGCTGGCAGCCCATTCATTATGGGTGCAATCGGTTCAGTGGGGGCAGCAAGGTGGCGAGGTGAGGGATATGCAGTCACTCTCACCTAGATGTGTGCCGACACACCGCTTCTCTTCTCACACACACATGCATTCACAATCACTGTCATGTAGGCATGAAACCAAAGTTATATGAAATTGTAAATCATCAGTTAGACCAGATAAAATATATAAAGTCAGTTATTTGAAATAGCTGAGACTCACTTTGTATATTTTTCTGCACCGTGTGCATTTACAACATTCTAAGGTCTATTGTCACATTTTAAAGAAATAGTTTGACATGAAGAAAATGCTTATTTGCTTTCTTGCCAACAGTCAATAAGAAGATTATACAACTCTCATAGAATGAATTAAGCTAAAGCCAGTAGCCAGTTAGCCTAGCTTAGCATTAAGAGTGAAAATAGGAAGACTGCTAGCCTAGCTTTTCTCCGAAGGTAACAAAATAAAGCGACTAGCACTTTAAGCTAACAAATACACCCTTTTTATATTGCTCGCACTTTTGCTGTAATTGTTTTTATGTCACTATTTGTCCACCATGCTTTGTAACTTGGAGTTTGGTCATTACTTTAAGGTTACCAAGAAAAAGCATGTTTTATTTTTACATTTAGTGACCTTTAGAGGTGTTGGTAGGTTGGTGGCAGGATGGCTAGCTGTTTCCCTCCATTTCCAGTCTTTCTGCTAAGCTAAGCTAAATTACTCTCGGCTTCAACAATTACAATGCAGGCTAACTAAGCAAAAGAACAACTTATTTACCCAAATTTCAAATGATTTAACTGATGTAAAATTTAAATGAATTAAGATTCTCTTAATGGACTTTTCCTGAATATTTTTAATGTGTTAAAAATATATCTCTATAATGGAAGTAGTAGAACATGGGTTCCTCCTCTCGTTCTTTCCCTCCTTATGATCATTTTCCACCTTGTCTACCTTCTGCCACCATCCTTTCTACATTCATCCCATCTGTCCTTTTGCCTTTTATTTCCCTCCTTCACTCCATCTCCCCTCCTTTCCTTCCCTCCTTCCTTACTCCTTCTACCTCAGACTCATTACACCCCACCCACCCGTACCTCAGCCTCTGCGAGAAGCTCTCCTCGTATAATATGATGGCCATCTGCTAGGCTGAGCCACGCTTCCCAAAAGCCCTGGGGCTAGATGTTTATCTGTCGTCCCCCTCTCAAACTCCTTTAAGGATGCAAAACATATCAGCAATCATCGCAGCTACAATTAGCACAGGTGCTGCTGAGCTGTAAAGTGATCAGGAGAAATGGGAGGAAACATAATTGAAGTGGATTAGAGCAGAGAGGTGGGAGGGGAAAAAATGAAATAAAAATTCTGGAGGCTTGGACAGCAGCCCTTTTCTATAATGCTGTTTGAAATTCACTGTGCTGTGATTAAAATTGGTGCAGAGCGGTTGTGGAAGTCCTGGCAAGGAGTTTTGGTTTTTAACAGCTGTCTCATGTTTTTCTAGCCCAATGTTTCCTCCAATGCGGTCCTGTCAGGTTGAAATATGGAGTTGGAGTGTGTGATGGTGCTTTGTATAACCAAGATCAGGGCTTTTTTTTAATGCATGTACTACATGTATTTTTCAGTTTAACCTGAGGAGCTTGCACTGCAGCATGTGTGGTCTCTCTGTGTGTGAAGAGTTTAGCACATGACAAACCCAGCCTTCTTGTTGTCATCATGTACTGACAACATGGCAGCAAACATTTGTGCAGGTGCTCATATGCAAACACTGTACTGTACTGTACAGACACACACACACCATTTTGGCTGCTCTAGCGGGGTCGGAATATTCCGCAGCAGTCACTCATGAAGAGAAATTCTTAATAATAAATATCTAGCCAATAATGAATGTGCTGCTGGCTGCAGTTGTCTTGGGGGCATAATATCTAATTTCCTCCCAATGTTTCATATCCCTACTCCTGCATGTCGACACAGTCCATCATTACACCCCAATGCAGGTTCCTATCACTTTTATTTATTTTTCAAATCAATATATAAATCAAAGCCCGGACAGATGAGATCCAATAAATTACAGAGTGCTGGACAAATGGAGAATGTTAACTGTGTACCAGGAGAGGAGATTCCCATGGGTGCTGCCTGGTCTGTGCTGTGTGCTACAGCAAAAATCTACTAAATGTCATATTAAATCACAGCTAACTTGAATATTACTCAGCGCTGTTTTTAATACTAGAGGAAAAACTCCTCCAAGGCCTTGTATGAATAAATTTTGTGGAATTTCTTGCATCTGCACTGATATTCTTTACATTTCACCTCATATCTTATGAGTTATTTTAACTTTACTCAAAAAATAAAATCAAAGATGAGCAAAGTAACTCAGTGAGTGGTTTAGAACCAGATACTGATGTGGAAATGGGGCATAACATCTATACTGGAGTTGTTGAGTGTGGAGTGATACCATTTTGCATCCCAAACCAACAGCCATTTACTTAAATTGCACTGGAAGATACAAAATAGAGCAGCAGAGCAATGATCCTCTGCACACCAGCCACAGCGTGTGAGTCACCCTGTTCTGTTCCAAGCTCAGCCAAATGGAAAAATAGGAGGGTTAGTGTAAG